GTAGGATCTGCTTCTCAGTGACTCAACACAATGACATTCAGATTAACCCTACAAAGATAGACACACTTAGTCTCCCTGAATGATAAGATTGTTTCCCATGAAAAGGGCATTGCTAGTGTGGAAAAGAACCAGATCAGTCAAAAGAAAGGCAGATGCAGATTATTTGCATGGAACAAGACCAATGTTCTTTCAAAGATAATGAATGCCATTTGCTTTTACCCTTGTGCACAACAAATAACTCTCTTGTCAGTGCTTTAAAAATGTGAAAAGAGACATTCTTTACTTACCGGACCAATTCTTCTTGTTGTATAGTTAATTGGCAATCCCCCAACATATAGCATCCCCACAACATCCAAAATATCAGCTTTCTTTGGGCTAGTGGTTCTATTTGTAGCTCCGTCAACCGACAGGACCCCTTCTTGTTTGCTTCGGAATATTTTTATCTGGAAAAAGACAGAAGGGCAACTCATTATTATTATTATTAGTTATGCTTCAACTCTTAGAAGCAAAGTCTTTGTAAGTGGTACTGAAGTAGCACAATTTTGTGCTCTTATTTGGGAGAATGTCACCTGAAGACGGAGAAACTTAGTACTGAGTTAACAAGCATGTTTGGGCACACAATGTAATGTTAATTTTACTATTATGTCACTTAAATGGATAAATAGCTTCAATCTAGTCTCAGATTAGACATTTATTATTAAAATATACAACAGTCCCTGGAACATATTCCCAAAATAGGACTGACATTGCAAATTACAACAGCCTTCCATAAACTAATGCCCCTCACATGTGATAGGACCACATTTCCTACATTTCCTAGCTGACATAAATATTGGAAATAAACAAGGGACATTTTTTCTGACTGAATATCTATAGGTTTACCTCAGTATCTATGGATTTGTTATCTGAGGTTTTATGTATCTGCAGATAATAAATGGAAACCAGAACTTATTATCAATATTAATCTGTTTTGTGATAACCCACTTTACAACCATCACAACTTATGACCATATGGGCAGATTTTATTACAGTTAAAAGTCAAGGACAACCTATATATAAAAGAGCTGCTTTCAGGCTCTTACAGTGAATCAACTTGTAGCTTGGAGGAAACTCTGTTTGGGAATAAAACTCTGCATCCTAATTTAGTCTTGAATCCTGAATCAGATTAAGCCACCTCTAAAGCAGGTTATACAGGAACAGACCATTTCCAAAGCCCTTGAATTAAGAACATGGCACACTGCTGCTCCATTCGTTTCTTCTACAATTCACTACAATATGTGTGTGTGTGTGATATTCTGTAGATGAATATAGTCTTTATTCATGCATTGTTAAATCATATAATACCTTGTGCCACTGGCCATCATTAATTTTGTTGGAAATCATAGTGCTTGTGTTTCCATGCCCAAGGTCATAACTGAAATATGGAAAACCATTTTTTATCTGGATAGTGGCAAAATCAGCATGATTGATCCGAGCCATGTAGAAAAGTAGCCCGTTTTCAGCCTTCGTTCTGATTTCAAGTTCAATTGTGAGTCTGCACATTTGGAAAAGGAAGGAAACAGAAATGGAGGACATTCAAAAAGCATTACTCTTTTATCTTTTTTTTTCTCACACAGCTAGCATTATCAGCAGCAAGCTTTGTTTATATGTGAAATAGAACCAGGATGTCCATATTACATTTCTAAGCTTACCAAGTTATATAGATGTAATATTCATGGATTTGGTAATGGATGTGATTTAAGATTTGGAAGTATCTTCTTTTGGGGGTTGAAAAATTAAGAATATTTGTTCTGCAATACACAGAACACAATTCTTCTCAAGAATTAGCTGTCAGAACTTAGTTTTCAAATTACTGAAAGAATATGCATGAATCTTGAGTACATCCATATGAAATAATTCTGGCAAATCCTGTCATTATCAGCTGAAAAAAAAACCCACTAGAGAAAGCAAACCCAAACCCCAAACCCTGTTAATGCGCAAGATGATGAGGATTATAAAACAAGAATAAATATATAAAATGGGCAATAGGGTACATGGAATCTATCTAATATCCTTCCTACCTTCCTTCCTTCCTTCCTTCCTTCCTTCCTTCCTTCCTTCCTTCCTTCCTTCCTTCCTTCCTTCCCTCCTTCCTTCCTTCCTTCTTTCCTTCCTTTTCTCCCACCGTGCCAAATTTAATCTCCCTAAGTTCTGTTATTGGAAAAGTTATTCTGGTGAAAAACAGAATCTCTACCCCTTATATAATTTATTTCCAACATTCTGTTGGATTGGAAAAAAATGAACCCTCTTAACATGGAAAATAATACCCATCAATTTGTCCCTTCCCTTCTTTTCCCTTCCCTCCCCCCTTTTTTTTGGGGGGGGGGTTTATGCTTAAAGACCCATCCTAAATTTGGAAAATGGCACTTTAGCTCTAAAATTAAGTCCATTGTATAGTTTAACTGAGTTCATTTTAGGAAGGCTAAAAAGAAAATAGGCTCACCCATCTTGTTTTAAAACATCTACAATTTAGCAAAGGTTACTACCAGAAATAATTTCTTTTGAACTTTATTTCAGAATGATCTTATTATTTAAAGAAACTTATAAGGCTGCCTATTTCACATAGTGATCCTAAATGGTTCATTACAACTACTAAAAAGAAGAATGAAAAACAGAACAACCCCTTCGCACCAGGTGCCAGCCTAATTAAACTGTTAGCCTTCTGACTAAATTCTAGCCCGAGGCCCCTGGGAAGTGCCAGGTCTTCATGGCCTTCCAGAAAGACTAAAAAAGTAGCTCCCTCAAATCTATGGTGGGAAGCTACTAACTTACTTGTTCTTAACTTTCGTGTCATCAAATGCAACTGCAATATGGCTGTTTCTTGAGAGGCCAAATTGCTTGGCCCCTTCCAAGGCAATGGGCTCCACATCAGCAGCACAATGTTCCTACAAAACAAAGCAAAACACCCTCATCATCTTTTCTTCTGTATGCACCAGCAATTTAGAACAAGACCACTCCCATACCTTTTAAGGAAAGCAATCAATATTTTGCCTGAAAAACAAATCATTTTACTATTGTAAAACACTGAATTTCTTTCTCCTCTTTTAACTATATTAACTACATCAGTCAACAATTGCAGCTATATCAATAGTAGCATCCCATTTACAACTGAAAACCCACTACTTTTCCATTGCTATTCAATTATAATCACAGTACTACTTCTATGCAAAAGCTGGGTGTAGCTACAGCAGGTTTGTGAATCCAGACACTGGACATAAGTCTTTTATGAGGTTCAAATAAACCACACACTTATGTTGTCTGGTGGAATAAAACTAATAGCACAGTATTTGCTATTGCGGGATCAGGTATACAGTAATAGAACAATCCAACACCAATCACTTTGTCTCTTGTTAAGATGATGGATCAAACATACAGTATGGATCTTACTTACCACTGCAGAAAATTACTGAGGTGGAAGGAAAGAAAATTGATATGCAATCACTTTAGCATATAATGCCATATTTCAATCAAGCTGCAATTTCTAGAAGTACACCTGTGGATTTAAAATCTACAAAATGTTTACGCTAAATGTACATATAGTGAGTGCACCACTATAATAATATTCTGCAGAATTGAAAATAGCTTTTTGATAGCTTTTCTAGAATCATAAGGATCTTCACTTTTATGAAAAACGGTCCAAATAATTATGGTTAAAATTACCTGAATACTATAATTTTGCTAATTCAATAGAAGGAGAAAATGAAGAAGAATATGTATGGCCTTAATATTGTGGGGGGAAAAGAGAAAAGAGTATGTGGATCTTGTATATGTGAGATTCTTTTCAAATAAATTCCTTGTGCTATAATAATGGCTTTTTAATGCTAGCTATAAAAGGCAGCCATAAATATGAGTTGCATCTATTTTCACTTTCTATTGGATGTACTATGAAAAATCAAACAGAATGACACAAAATGTCACAGAACAATAATGCTTCATGACAGAATAGATTTTGAGTTCCCAAAATAAATATATTTACATATTTAGTTATGTTAGAAGTATTCTTTATTCTTTAATTTGTCTCCATCTAAATCAAAGCATTACTCATGGCAAAAGACCTTTAAGATACCATGAATATAAAACATTTAAAATGTATAATTTAAAATAACCGTCTCTTGATATTTCAGTAACAATTTGCCCATGCAAAGAAATCTTAACAGAGGCCAAAAACAGGTTTTAAAATGGCTTATAAGAACAAGCATATGCTTCTTACTCTGCCCCGATGCAATTAAAGGAGAAAAACAGAGAGAATAAAAATATTAAAGCACTTCCAGACAAAGTGTTTGTGATGCCTGAGAACCAAACAAGGCAATCCTACCCATCCAGATCCCTTGCCAATTTCCTGCTTTGCTAGATCTTTCGGATATGATATTTCAGTTATGCATTGTTGTATGTTCTGTTTAGTGATACAATTGAGTAAGAAGTCCAAATCAGGAGAATGTCTGGAAGAGCTCAGTTACAAATGTGTGAGGATAGTCCTTCAGCAAATGGTAACTGACAAGGGAAATAAAGAGAACGTACCCTCCCTCTGCACTCATTGCCTACTTGAGATTTAATATACTTTTTATGAATGTGGGTGGATGATAATGATAAATTCCACTCATCCAGCATAGCTAACATACATACATCATGGAACATTTTAAGGAACTGTTTAATTAAGCTTTTTCAGCTGAAACCTTGAGCTGATGTTTCCAGGGCAACAGATACCAGTGACTTTAGTAAGAGATATTTGCGGAAATGGAATTGCTGTCAGACCATCTCACACATTTGTGCAGAAAACTGCATCACCACTGATGGAAGGAGAAGAGAGCGAAGCCATTTAGTCACTGAAACGCCACTGCAGTTCATCGAGCATTGTTAAGTGAAAGGGAGGAAAAAGGCAGGGCCACACTAGAAGATACCGTCAGATCAGAGTCAGCTGAACTACTGGCGCTCTTCACTTCAGCCGTAAGCAATTCCTGAGAAGCAGTAAACAACGTGAGGCAGAAGCAACAATTGTTGACGTTCCTAAATAGGTAACAGCATTTGTAGCAAGCAGTAAGCCTTTGTGGCAATCTAATACCTAAAACTGTCGGACTCATTACTCTGTCCATTATTTTCAAAACCAATTTCTTCCTTTAAATTTGAAGAAAAAGGCCCTGCTCTAAGTACAAAGGAAGGAAAATTTGCATTTGTCTGCATAAATCTTGCCCATAAAGTACAGGGCAATGAAATACAAATCAAGTAATTCAGTCCAAATCATTTCATATTAGAAGTATTAGCAGTAAAAGCACCTGCCTGGGACGAAGCCAAAATGACTAAGCTTCTAAAGTAATACAGTAGAAAACAAGCAGAAATAATTATCCTTGACATCCATGGCTCTGACATTACATTACTACAAATTCTTAGATTGCCGAGTTATTAGATGAAATAATAGAGTTAGCCAATATGTGGGACACATGGACAAACTCCCGGGTGTAAGATTTCCAAATAGGAAACAGTTTTAGAGGAAAAACTGTTTTAGATATCATGGAATCTTTTGCAGCATCTTAAAAGCTAATACAGGCAGTCCTTGACCTATGGCCATTCTTTTAATGATTGTTCATGACAACAGTGAAAAAGGTGGCATGACCGGTCCTCACATTTAAGACCATTGCAGACCAGCATGTAGTAACAATGGTTGTAGCATTCTGGAGTCGTGTGATTGGTGCCATTGGTGATCTCAGGAGGTTTCCAACAAGCGAAGTCAATGGGGAAAACAGATTCTCTTAAGGATCATACGATTCACTTAATGGGTTCAGTGATATACTTAATATATCATAAAATTGGGCATGACTGTCTGCTTAGTGACAGACGTTCCAGTCCCAATAGTGATTGTAAGTCGAGGACCACCTGTACACATTCTGCTAGAACTTAAAGTAGATAAGAATTGCCTTCCTGGATTAGGCCTTGATGGATCTAATCCAGCATTCCGTGTCACATAGTAGCCACATAGATCCATCTGGGAAGCTCACGCTCTGGCCTGGAGACAACAGCTTCTTTTTGCGGTCAATTCCTAGCGACCAGGATTTAAGCAGAGCTGCCTATGATTCAGCAGATAGCGAAAAGGCATCATATTAGCAGACATTAACACCCTGATCCTCCTGGTTCACTTCAAAATTGGCTGTCCTTACCAGCTATTGGCAGTACTTTACATATTTTTGCTATATAAAAAAAAAGTATTTCCTTTTGTAGGTCGTGAATCTATTTAGTTTCAATGGATGAGTTCTAGTACTGAGAAAGAAAAAGAAGAAAAAATCACTTTCTCTATACTATTCATGAATTTATACCACCATGTTTCTTTTGATCTTTATCAGAAGCCAAAGAGGGGGCACAAAGAGGCTGCCCATTACTCTAATCACTTTGGGGGACCTTTTTCTATGTTTAAGTTGTGTTGACCCTAACTGTACATAGGCTTGTACATACTAGTCTAATAATGGACTAATTATAGTCTCACCAAAAATTCTTATAAGGAGATTACGATACCGACAATTCAATTCACTTTTTAATAGCATCTGCAGAATGTGTTCACATTTTTGTGAATACTGTCCACTGTGACTCTAAAACCTTTTAGAGATCAGCTGGCTGAAATCCCACTAATGTTTAGATGAAATTTACATTATTTGGGCTAAAATGTATCATTATATACTTGTTTTCAAGACATGATACCTGTTTGTAATTTTTATTTCAATAGTAAGTGTATTTCATACACTTTGAAAAAGCTGGCCACAACACCATCAAACTGGTATACATGAGCTCTTATGGATATTGATATTTGTTTCTTAGTAATTCTGGTGGAAATTGTCCTTGTTTAATATAAAGCTTTTCTGTATATATTAAACTATTTTCTTTAATGTTTACTTAAGAGAGCCGAAGCCAGAATTCATAAATGGCACTAAAGGTACCAGCACCTTATATAGAAATAAGGAGCATTTCAAAGAATGGGACTAAAATAATTATTGAGATTGAACATATAAAACTGCCTTATATGAAAGTATTATTCATTGATTCATCAAGCAGAGTCCTTTATGCTGCAAATGAAAGCAAAAAAAAAAAAAAAAGAAGCTGGGGCCCTTTTCTATAGAAAGCAAATGTTCCACTTTCCCAAAAAACTTGATAACCCTATTAAATCATTTTCTTTTATAATTTAAGAGTGAACTACACCAGCAGATTGACTGGCGCACAGCATTGGTGAATCTGTAGAACTGTGACATTTTTCTTTTATGTTTACTTCCTGTTTTTGTGGACAATAAAGCTATTACAATATATATTGGCAACTTACCCTCTTATTATTGGAAAAATAATCATGTTTGCTTTTTTAAAATTTTTGCTAAGCATTACACATGGAGTCTTCTTATTATTTACCTTGAATAGTTATTATGTCTGTTTTATCTACCCAGATCTTGGCTGAGATTTGTTTAATACAAAGCTGCGAAAGAAATATTCAAGAAGAAGAAAAAAAAACACTTCAAATCTCATGTTTACAGCAGTTTTCTTTAAAAACAGATTAAACGTGGCTACCTTTGGGATAGAGGATGGTATAATAATGATATCAACAAGGCAACCATTGCTACCACCAGCAAAATAATACTGAAGTTATCTGAAAAGAAGAAATCAATACTTGTATGCAAATTTTTAGCTCAATTCGTTTGTACCAGCAACATATTACAAAGATATAGTATATCTTTTAAAAATCAAATGCCATATAACTATATATATATATATATATATATATATATATATATATATATATATATATATATATATATATATTTGTTTTCTGAGGTTTTCGCGGGTGTTTGTATGTAGGTCTTTGGTTGTTCGGTTTTCTCCCGCGTAAAATTGGAAGTGTCTTGGCGACGTTTCGACGAAGTCCCATTCGTCATCTTCAGGCTGGTGTTTTCAGCTTCGTGCTCCGAAGCACGAAGCTGAAAACACCAGCCTGAAGATGACGAATGGACTTCGTCGAAACGTCGCCAAGACACTTCCAATTTTACGCGGGAGAAAACCTGAACAACCAAAGACCTACATATATATATATATATATATATATATATATATATATATATATATATATATATTTTCTATGTATTACCACCAGGCCATTTTATGAGAATTAATACATTATGCTGCTTTATGTTGCCTATTTCAAAATCAATTGCATATATCTACCACCCTTCATTATTAAATCTGAATAACCCTTAACCTTAGAGTGCTTTAGAGCTACATGCCATGTACAAATCAAGCCTGCCAAAAGGACATACTATATTTTGTCATACACATTGTGTCATTTTGGGGTTTCTGTTACTTCCTTCTTTCCTTGAAGCAATTCTCTTGCTGTAATTCAACTTGTGTGATTCAAAGCCCCCCCTAAAGTCTCTTCTAAAAAAAAAATGTGCATAAATGGCTTTCTGCTTGTGCATCCTATTTTATATGATACAGTGATTGTATTGGACAAGGAGACAGATTGGCCTGGTTCTCCACTGTGGTTTCTATAAGAATAGCTGATGAAAGCAGCAAACAAATGCCAGGCTTTTGTCACAGTGACAGAGAGCAATGGTTGAGATGTTGACACACTGAGCTGTACTGTAATCAGTTCTATTTTTTTGGAAATAGGAAAGGAGAAAAGATTAAATAAAAGGATTCCAACTTTCTCCCCTTTAGATGACAGGTTCATACATAAACCATTTCATTGGAAGCTAAAAAAATTGCTGGTCTGGTAGATAGAATTGTTGATCTCCATCCATTTTTTTTAATTGCACAGATGTTCATCTTGCAAAATACAACATGACCAAAGTTAGTGTTGTGATGGGAGTTTCAGGAGAAACTTCGAAGTAATAGGATATCAAAAATAGTATATATATATATATATATATATATATATATATATATATATATATATATATATATATATGTAGGTCTTTGGTTTTTCGGGTTTTCTCCCGCGTAAAATTGGAAGTGTCTTGGCGACGTTTCGACGAAGTCCCATTCGTCATCTTCAGGCTGGTGTTTTCAGCTTCGTGCTTCGAGCAGCAATGTGTGGTCTTAGCTGTTTCTTCCTTTTAACTGCCAGTGGGGGTATGAACTGATTGGTTGGGAGCTTGGCTGTGTTCTGATTGGGTGGAGGTGTGTTCTGATTGGTTAGGGGCGTGGCTGTGCTCTGATTGGCTGGGGGGTTGGCTGTGCTCTGATTGGCTGGGGGGGTTGGCTGTGCTCTGATTGGTTGGGGGAGTGTTCTGTTTGGTTGTGCTCAGGTTAGTCTGATTTGCAGAGGGGTTTAAGATTTTGGGCTGCCTTGCTATTTTTTTGGCTTCGCGTTTGTGGTCGTGTCAGTTTGCTTCATGTATGGATTGGAGGGCTTTAAAGTGGCTAATGATGCAGCTCTGGTCTGGCTTCTGGTTTGTGGTCGTGCCTCATCATCGGTGTGGCTGTGGGTTTGTTTTTTGCGTGGATGTGTGGTGCTGACATCCTGTGTGGTTTTTGTGAGTGTGGGTCTGGTATCATTTTTTGTATTAGGGAGTCGTTTGTCAATAAGGGCGGGTTTCCAAATGGCTGGTATGCGGGAGGTATCATCTCGCTTGTTCATGCTGTGTGGGCGTTTTTCTATCTCGATGGCTTCTCTGATTATTCTGTTATTAAAATGTTCACTTTTGGCAATGGTTCTGGTATTTTTTAAAGTCAATTTCATGTCCTGTGGCTTTAAGGTGTTGGACCAGGGAAGATGTTGGTTCCTCTTTTTTGACTGAGTTCTTATGTTCTTCAATGCGTGCACTTATTCTTCTGTTGGTTTGTCCGATGTATGTGGTGGGACAAGTGGTGCATGGGATTTCGTATACTCCTTGATTTTCTAATTCAATTTTATCTTTGGGGTTTCTAAGGATGGTGGATATTTTTCTGTTTGTGCAGAATGCTGTTTTGATGTTGTGTTTATGGAGGATCTTACTGATTCTGTCTGTGGTGCCTTTTATGTATGGGAGGAGGGCTTTGCCGTTTTCTTGTTCTTTGTCTTGGATTTTAGTGGGGGTTTCTTTTTGGATTAGGTTTGTAATCTTATTTCTTGGAATCCATTGGATGTTAGTACATTGGTGAGAGTGTGTAGTTCGGTTTTTTAGGTGTTGTTCGTCAGCTAAGCGTTTTGTTCTGGAGATGAGTGTCTTGGCTACAGAGTTGATCTGTGCTGGGTGGTGGTGTGAGAGAGCGTGCAGATAGCTGTTTTTTGTGTGTGTTTTCTTCTGTAGATGGTGTGTCCTAGGGAGCCATTGGATTTCTTGTAGACTAAGAGATCCAGGAAGGGAAGTTGGTTGTTAGCTTCTGTTTCCATGGTGAACTGTATTTTGGGGTGTAGGCTGTTGAGGTGTGTGAGGAAGTTGTCCAGTTTTTCTTTTCCATGTGGCCAGATTATGAAGGTGTCGTCTACGTATCTGAGCCAGAGTTTGGGTTTGTGATCCGATTTTTCTAGAGCTTGGGTTTCAAAGTGTTCCATGTAGAGGTTGGCAATGACAGGTGAGAGGGGTGATCCCATGGGTGCTCCTTCTGTTTGTTTGTATTTTTGTCCATTATAGATGAAGTATGTGTTGGATAGGCAGTGGTTGGTCAGATCTAAGATGTGTTTGGGGGGGTTATATTTGTTTTGAATAGCTGTCAAGGCTTCTTTGATAGGCACTTGGGTGAAGAGGGATATGACATCGAAGCTCACTAGTAGGTCGCTGGGCTGTAAGTTTTGTTTCTTTATGATCTCTATAAACTGGAATGAGTTTTTTACGTGTGAGGTGATGGATTCTGCATAGGGCTGTAGTTGTTTGGCGAGAAATTTGGCTAGGTTTTGTAGAGGTGAGCCTATGGAGCTGACTATAGGTCTGAGTGGGGTTCCTTCTTTGTGTATCTTGGGGAGACCATAGAGTTTAGGGCATCTGGATGATTTCTCTCTGGGAATGATTCTTTGCTGGATCTCTTCGCTAATGGGGGAGGCTTTTATTTTGGATCTGGTGGTTTTTTCCAGGTAGGTGGTGGGATCTGTATTTAGGGTTTGTATGTGGAGTCTTGGAGTAGGTTGGTTAATTTGGTTTGGTAGTCAGATGTGTTCATAACCACCGTGGCGTTGCCCTTGTCTGCTGGTAGGATTATTATGCTGGTGTCTTCTTTCAGGTTACGTAGTGCTGTCTGTTCCTCTTTGGGTAAGTTGCTTTTGGGTGGCTTGCTGGTACAGAGGATGTTGGTGATTTCGAGTCAGATTCTGTTAGCATCGTCGGGGTTGATTTTGGTCAGGCTGGCTTCAACTCCACATATAATGGTTTCCGTGGGGATGTGTTTGGGAGTGACTGCAAAGTTGAATCCTTTGGAAAGGACATTGGTTTCGGCTTTGGTGAGGATCCTATCTGAGATGTTATGCACTGTTTGTTTCATGTGTGGCTGTGAGGGAGGAGGGGTTTGTGTCTGGCGTTCTTGTAGTCTTCGGAGTTTGTTGGTGTGTGTATCTGTCTTGAGGGTGGTCTGTGTTTCAGCTCTCCAGACGGCGAGTTGTTTGGATTTGTCCCAAAGTGCGGGGTGGATCTTATTGCTGAGTTTGAGGTGGAGTGTGAGGAGATCTTTGTTAATTCGGTCTAGGAGGAATCTTTTTGTGTGAAGTTCATTTCTGATTAGGGCCAATTCTGTTCTTTTCAGGATCCGTTTGGTGGCTGCAGAGTTGGAGTGGAATTTCAGTTGGAAACATGTGGGGATTAGATTTTGATCTCGTCAGTTGCGTAGGAATGCGAGGTCGCATAAAATGGAAGCTCTTTGGACTTCAGGTTTTTCATAGGTCCTGGTCAGATGGTGGATTTCCTCCCCGTAGAGGTTTGATATTTGTTTTCTGAGGTTTTTGCGGGTATTTGTATGTAGGTCTTTGGTTGTTCGGGTTTTCTACCGCGTAAAATTGGAAGTGTCTTGGCGACGTTTCGACGAAGTCCCATTCGTCATCTTCAGGCTGGTGTTTTCAGCTTCGTGCTTTGAGCAGCAATGTGTGGTCTTAGCTGTTTCTTCCTTTTAACTGCCAGTGGGGGTATGAACTGATTGGGTGGGAGCTTGGCTGTGTTCTGATTGGGTGGAGGTGTGTCTGATTGGTTAGGGGCTTGGCTGTGCTCTGATTGCTGGGGGGTTGGCTGTGCTCTGATTGGCTGGGGGGTTGGCTGTGCTCTGATTGCTGGGTGAAGTGTTCTGTTGGTTGTGCTCAGGTTAGTCTGAGTTGCAGAGGGTTTAAGATTTTGGGCTGCCGTGCTATTTTCTGGCTTCACGTTCGTGGTCATGCCTCCTCTTCATGGAGGGTGTCAGTTTGCTTCATGTATGGATTGGAGGGGTTTAAAGTGGCTACTGATGCAGCTGTGGTCTGGCTTCTGGTTTGTGGTCGTGCCTCGTCATCGGTGTGGCTTTGGGTTTGTTTTTTGCGTGGATGTGTGGTGGTGACCTCCTGTGTGGTTTTTGTGAGTGTGGGTCTGGTATCATTTTTTGTGTTAGGGAGTCGTTTGGCAATAAGGGCGGGTTTCCAAATGGCTGGTAGGCGGGAGGTATCATCTCGCTTGTTCATGCTGTGTGGGCGTTTTTCTATCTCGATGGCTTCTCTGATTA